TTGTATCATGTAATAAAAGTACATGAGAAACTTTAACTGTGATACAATTAGCAAATCTTGCTGGTTCATTTACTATCACCTAACCCTGTTTAATTTATTTGCTGGCTTTTCACAGACCAAACAGATCAGTTCACTGAGAAAATAATCAGACGTTTAATAAACTAATCGAGGCCCTTTGTTCCACGAGGAATCCAAGGAGATAAGAAGAAGAAGAATAAACTAATCATAAATTTCCTGTAATCTGCAGAACGCTGCTGTTCTCCAGGAACATGATCAGCAGCTTTACAGTGTACACCACATACATGAGGGGCTCTGCATAGACAATATCATACTAGAAGCGCGTGATGGTTTGTGTGTCACCAAAGTGACAGTGTGACCCTCAGACAACAGTGGCTCTCGGCTAATCTCAGTTCCAGACCCCCGGTCTTCACAATATACTGGATTATTTCTGGCAGTGATGGACTTCAATATAAATTTTGCCTCCATGTGGTGAGGTTTCTTAGCAGGTATTTAACTTGCTAGATGAAGCACAAACATTGGCTGGTTGATCCTTACATAATATTTTAACTCCTTTCACAGAAACATTGCTTATTGCAATATACACATAGCTGCAACTAGCTACTACTTTCCATTACCAATTCATCTGCAGACTATTTTCCAGATTAAGCGACTGGTAGTGAGGTCTATAAAATATCATGAAAACGGGTGAAAAACTCAACTCTTGAAAAGTCTGGTTTGGTCTGAAGATACTGAGTCTACTGGGGAACCAGAAAATATTCACTTGATGTATAATTCATCTAGAATATGTCCAGACTGTAAATCCGCTATGTTGATTTATTCTGTACACACAAATCTACTTCGTGTCCGTCCTGTAGAGGGATCGCTCCTCTCCTGCTGGTCCTCAGGTATCCTCTGCTTTTTCCTGTTAAAGGGCTTTTCTGGGGGGGGCGTTTTCCTGATCTGAGATGAGGATCTAAGGACAGAGGAGGTTGTATGTTGTAAATCCCCACGAGGCACATCTGCACTATTAGGCTGTATAAAGAAACAAAATATGCCATTCAGGAAACTATAACCTGAACATTTAGACACTGAGGAAAAGAGAGAAAAAAAGATTCTAAACATATTTTCATTAATCTTCTGTCAGTCGAACAATCTTTGCAGCTTCACTGATAACGTTATAAAACTCCTTGTGCAGTGACAGAGCTGTACTGCTCACTCCCAACTTAAATTCTGATACAATAAGCAAAACTCTTCTTGGTTAACTTTATGTCACTCTCCTAATGGACTCATTGATTTCGACATTAATGACAGATATGAATTTATGTTCATAATTATTATTTCCAGGCTTCTCCTTCTGTGTAATTCACTTGTCGTCAGTAACAAGTTCAAACCTCCCAGTTTGACCAGTTTATCTAGTTTGTTACTATCAAACACTGGGGTCACCTGCTCCTGCCAACTTTACAGTTTATTCAGTCCAAAACATCCTGTACAGTTGGATGCCAACACTCAGCATCACCTACACAAAATATGCAGGCCTGTCAAGTTCAATCAAACTCAGATCAAGACCAGATCCCACCACACACACACACACACCAGGACCCCCAGCATCCACAAACCTACAGAGGACACCCACATACTGACTGATACATGACTTCACAGGCAGATATTTGAGAGGTTTAAAAAAAATATATATATATATATACATACCATACCAGCCAATATTACTTTTTACATAACCCAGAACACAAACCGAGGTTGTGAGTTTTCGATGTAAAAAAACCTCACCACTCCTCTGCTGTTTCTAATTGCATCTTTGGCATTTCCCTACTTCAGCTGATTGTTCTACTGTATACTGTCACATACACAAATTATTGTACATAAAATGTTTCAAAGCTTTTTAGGTTTCATTTCAAGTGGAAAGATTAAGATGATTCATCACTCTGATGACTGGGATCAAAAACATTTCTCCTGAGTCTGACCTTAAGTTAGTAAACACAAAAACTGAATCATTTAGCTAAATGTTCTGACATTGAAAAGCTGGAGACAGTCTCCGTCTCCAGCTTTTCAATGTGATGATTTTCTGGTCTTCTCTGATTTCTGTCAGTACCAACTGAACATCTTTGATTTTGGACAACACAAGACATTTGAAAATATCACCTTGCACTGAAAACGAGGATAGACATTTGTATTTTCAGCAACCTAGCCTAATCAACTGATTTAGGAATAATAAACTGATCAGCTGATAATGAAATTAAAGGCTGGCTGCAGGCCTACACCCAAAATAACTTGGACAAAGGTTGCTCACAGTTACATGTTCACTGATTCACAGACACTCTGTGAACATCCAATCCAAAACACTAGCCCTGTCATAACATCTGATGTTATGAAGATCATGTTCCAGTTTGTGCTGAAATTATCGGAAATCTATTAACACAACTACATGTTTATTATTGAGGTGATAGTTACGGGTGGTGTTGTACTGTTGCATGTACACACGTCCTCCTGCAGCTGTGTTAAACACCGGGATCAGAAACGGAATGAAACAGGTCGTTAGCCCAGTGTTTACTCCCAGCACAGCTACAGTAACAGTTAAACCAGCCTCCTACCTGCCTGCCAGACAACAAAGATTACACGCTGTCTAAACACTTCGGGTCTCTGAAGTCCTGCGGGGATCAACAGATGCTGGAGTCCGGCTGCTGCTCGCACTAACGTTACCTGTCTGCATGCTGCTGCGGCTCAGCGGCTAGTGAGCGAGCTAACCGCTAACATACCAACAAACTGCACAAATCCAGTCACCGGCAGCTCTATCCACCATTAGACACGCTTACTAGGTCGTTTACTCATCGTTTACATCTAAAATCCCACTTCAACTGTAGCAGCTGCTTCGATGTGACTGTTTTGCAGGCTAACGAAACATCCCATTTATCTTACTTCAAAAAGATGGCGGGCAAGCCAAAGCAAAATATCAGCTAGGTCACTAGCTAACCGAGCTAGTCTACTTACAAAGATGTAAATTGTCATTAATGCTGTTCACAGCAGTCGTGAAGATATGTGAGCGCGCGTGAAAGGAGATATCTCCACATATGTTCGCTTATGAATCGCAGATGGAGCGAATTAATTTGTTTAAGTAGTCAGTCTTTGCAGATGTTATCGCTCAGTGTTTGGCTAGCTAATAGCAATTAGCCTGTTAGCTGAGCTTTGTCTGAAGGCGCCGAGCGGCCAAAACAGGCTCTGACACACCGACACCTTCATGATCAACCCTCCGCTCCTTTTACCCGCTAATCTCCCCGCTAGCGGTCAGAGAGACATGTTTACTTTGCGTTTGAGTCCTCCGGTGTGTCCAGCGGCGACCTCCGAGCAGATTTCTGGAAGATTTTTATTTAGCCAAGTAGCATAATAGATGAGTTTTCAGCTGTCTATCGTATGCGCAGGCGCAATGACGTACAGCATCATACATGTTGTTATAATCGGATTGGCTGGACGGATGGTTGGGTTAATGTGATTAGCTGCATGATGTTTGGAGTGCTATGATTTGTTGCTGTTGGATGAGAAGCGTTGTGATTGGTCGGTGAGGTCGTTGGAGTGCAGTTACTGGCTGAGACAATAACTGGGCTGCTGTGATTGGCTGATAAGAGTTCTGAACAGCGCCAGAGCTGGAAATACGTTTCCCAGCATGCAGTGCGGCAGCATTGGCCTGCTGCGTTCTGTAATAGCGCCTTTAAATTGATACAATAACAGTTTAAAGCCTTAAAGTATGTTTTTTCTAATTACTAAAAAAGTACTATATTTGAACTCGAATATTCTGTGATATAAAGCTAAGATTTTTGTAATTTCTTTCTTGTTTTATTTTCTCTTTGTCTAGAAGTCCCCACTTGTAAATAATAATGAAAATCTACTTTTATTACAAATCAGAATGTTAGGATAAACACTGTTTTAAGAATGATAAAGTTATGTTATAGTAAATACATTTAGTTTAAGATATATGATGAAGAAACACTTGCAGAACAACACAGAGATAACATCAAGGCTCGGGATGAAACAGAATAGAATTACAATAGAATACAACTTGATTGTCTGGATAGAAGATTCCAGTCCGGTAAACATACAAACTAATACAAATAAAAATTGCCAAATATGCATTTCTTATTTCCCCCCTGCACAATTACCTATGTGTGCATATATTTCTAACAACATAAAGCTGAATGTATTTATTTTGATTAAAAAAGAAGTACATGTAATAAGCCAGGGATGATAATGAAATTATTTGTAGGTATGGACATTTCTTCTCACTGCTGTAGGTAGACCTCTTGTAAAAACAATCTTGATCTCAATGCAATTATCCAGTTATATATAGGGTATACTGTTTATGTTAAATACAATACATTTTAATGTTGAATATATGGGTATATAATGCACAGTTTGTATGTATTCCAAAACATATAAGTAGCCTATGTTTTCCCATATAAACATTAAAAGTCATATTTTTGCTACACATTAGCACAGACAGACTGAAAATATCTCTCCATATGTGTAAACATTGATCATCTGCTTACTGGGTTTGTTCATGATGCTAAAGCATCAGATAAAAGAATACAGGAAGTCTGCATAATGAATCTTTGCTTTACTTTTTTGGACATTATCTGACCTTTCCTTATTTTTGTCCTGAAAATCAGTCTGGAAGAAAGGACAACTATCCTATATTTAAATGAAAACAGTTTTAAGTCCTGTCGCATCCCCTACACGTTCACAACAGTCATAATCTTATTAAACAAACCCCTGATTTTTCTGTTCTGAGAGCCTGAGCAGCTACAAGTGTAAAGTTTATTCTGACAGCAACAGTGCAGGAAACATCATGGAGTCATTAAAATACTCAGAAAACAAGTGGCCCATAAATACCTATGATCATGGATGGATTACTGGATGGGTGTACCCAGGACAGGCCCAGGAGCCTGAGAGGTCAGGGGGCCCTAAGGCCTGTGCCCCTGTTTGAAGTAACTTATTACTAGTATGAAAGTCATTGAGCTCAGTTAAAAGACAAAAACAAAGAGACACAAAACAACCATAAAGAGATGAAAAATGACCATAAACGACACAAAATTAAAACAAAGAGGAAAAAAATGACAATACAACGACCAAAGAGACCACAAAGAGACACACAATGATTAGAAATGATGTGACTGCGTCTGTCTGGGGGTCTCATGTAGGAGGGAGGAGACCTATAACCTGCCCGTGATCGTGGATTTGATGAGATGGATAAAGTTTTTTGTTTGAGTTCAGATCAAACAGAAACAGCTGTGATCTGATTATCAAGAACCTTTATTGTCATTATCAGAGTGAATATTAATATCATCATCATCATCATCAGTCCTGTTGCTATGGGCCTGTGTGCTGGACTGCAAGAGGCTGTTAACATGCAGCAGAGCCGAGCAGACAGACAGGTAGACAGGAAGACGGGTAGGTAGACAGACAGTTACGGGAGTCGACAGACTGGGGGCAAAGAGGTAGGCAGGTGGACAAATAGTGAGGTAGGGAAAAAGACAGGTGGGGGACAGACAGACAGGTAGACAGTAGGACAGACAGGTAGAGACAGGTCAACAGACAGGTAGACAGGAGGACAGACAGGTGGGGGACAGACAGACAGGTAGAGACAAATCAACAGTCAGGTGGGGGACAGACAGGTAGAGACAAGTCAACAGACAGGTAGACAGGAGGACAGACAGGTGGGGGACAGGTAGCTATTGTGTTATTTACATACAGGTAGGCAGATGCAATAAAAAGCTTATTGGCTGTCTTCCAGAGGCTCCGCCCCCCTTTCTTCTCTGTCAGCCAATCCCCGATGAGGAGGGGCGGGCTCTGCAGGCTGAGGGGAGGGGTGTGAGGAGGAAGAGGAAGAGGAGGAGGAGGACAGGGAAAGGGGGAGATCTTGGGGTTGTTCAGTCTGTAGCCTACCTCCCTCATCAGCCTCGCCTCCCATCAGCCCCTCCTCCAACTGCCCCCTGCCTCCTCCTCCTCCTCCTCCTCCACGAGGCCCGGCAAACTGCAGGTGAGGCAGGAGGGCGGCCTGCGCCGCCTCCTCCCGCTCCCTTCCCCCCGCAGCCTCCCTCTCTCGCCTCTCTGTATACAGCGAAGCCTCCAGGCCGAGGTAGGAGGCACTGAGCTGCCGCAGGTCCAGCTCAAAGGGGCTGCCACTGGGCTGCACAGCTGCCTCTCCTCCCTGGCCTCCTCCTCCTCCGGTTCCTCCTCCCCTCTTAGCCTTGCGGGGGTGGGAGGTCGTGGAGGCAGGGAGACCATCAGGGAGAAGCGACTGGATCTTTGGGAGCCAACGTTTCCGGACTCTGCGAGCGTTGGTGCACATGTCAGCAGCGATCACGTTCATCTCACTCTCCTTAAAGTTAGGAGCAAAGTTCTGACAGTAGACTGAGGAGGAGCAGGAGGAGGAGGGAGAGACAGGAGAGAGAGGAGGAAGAGGACAAGGAGCAGGTGGAGAATGAAGGGGAAGGAGAAAGGTGAGAAGGAGGAGGGTAGACAGGTGCAAGGTGGAGAATGAAGAAACAAATGTCTCAGTATGTGTTTCCTGAACATGCGCATATCTTCCTATAGCTGTGAGGACATGTTGTCCAGTCCTCACACCTTCAAAGGGCTGTTTGAGGATTCACACCTGGTTTTATGGTTCATCTTAGAACCAGGGTTAGGTGTTAGGGGTGAGGGGATGCATCATGTCAGTGAGGGTTCACACAAATATTTAGGAAAACATCAACAACATGCATCTCTCTCTCTATGGCTGTGTGGCAAAATGTTTGAATCCACTGTAAAGGCAGTTTGCCAGTCCTCACAACTATATAAAGACCAACATGTGTATGTACTGTATATGTAGGCCTATATGTGTGTGTGTGTGTGTGTGTGTGTGTGTGTGTGTGTGTGTGTGTGTGTGTGTGTGTATATCTTACGTTTGACAGTGTTTAGCACCCGGTTGTCCAAAGGCTTTCGGCTTGGATCATTGGTGGAGGAGCGGATCCCTGTCCCACAGCTATTGGCCAGAGTGTTTCTATGGAAACCATAACAATCCAATCAGCACCTATACAGAGCTTTAGATTAGCTCACTCTGCCTCTCTCTCTCTGAGACAATGTGACAGAGCAGTTATGTAAAGCAGCAGCTGGATGCTGAAGGAGGCCACTGCTCACTGGAGGAACATTCTGGAACATTTAACACTGCCTGATATCACACTGTGTCTGGTCATGTCACACAGTGTTCAATGATGTCACACCATGTCTGGTGATGTCACACAATGTCCAATGATGTCACACCATGCCTGGTGATGTCACACAGTGTCTGATGATGTCACACCATGTTTGGCGATGTCACATGGTGTTCGATGATGTCACACCATGTCTGATGATGTCACACTGTGCCTGGTGACATCACACCATGTTATGTGATGACTGTGTCAGTCCTGATCAGTGTGTGTTGCAGCTTCCCATCCGTGTGTGTCAGTGCCGTGTACCCAGCTCCGGTGTGAACACCGCTGAGCTCCTAAACTGCCACACATGCACAGATGTAACTGAAATGTGAGCCATGTGCGCACAAAAATATCAACCAGGTCGTGTGTGTGACAGTCAAATGACCCAGTTCCCTCCCAAACCGCTGGGTTATGATATGTTCCTCCCAGTTTGACCTGATCAGAAGCTTCTCCATAAACGTCCACCACATGTGAAGCATCCTGGTCTCTCCATTGACCCCGTCACTGTCGTCGCTCTCCTCCATGTTTACTGTTGCCGGTATGTATGGAATATATATTACATGTAATCAATCAGTTTCCAACATGTACTAAAATGGATTTATATAGTTTTTGGATGTGTACAAATATGAACATGTATCAGTTTTGGGTGTATTACACGCAGAAATGGCCATGTGCTTTTTCCAGATGTGCACAAAATGGATGTATAACAATTGCATATATATAAAAACACTGATGTATATCCATTTTGGATGCAAACAAAACTAGAGCCATATAATTTTCATATATGAACAGAAATGTACATTGGTTTCAAGTAAATAGAAAAATGGATGCATTGTTTTCTGTTATCTTTTATCCTTTGCAGAGACTTATAAAAACAAAAGCAAAGGTTTTAAAAGGATACCATACCGATGTATGCATTGTACGGCCTGTCCGTTTCCGAGTTACACATGCTTCCAGTCTATATGCTAAGCCAAGCTACCCTGCTCCTGGATCTCTGTGTAGACTGACCTGTCGAAGAACGTAGCCAGCAGTCTTCTGAGCAGCACCTTGTGTTTTACTCCGGCACACAGGTGACAGTTCATCAGCTGGCCTCGTGTCATGAACACACCTGAACCTGAACACACAAATGTCAGACTTTGGTTTATATAACTCATCTCTTTCTCAGCTCTTCCAGACAGTTTTATGTTCAGTGACCTTCCTCATAATCCTGTTACCATGACGACACATTACATCTTAAGAACAGAAAGAGCTGTGTCTAAATTCCACCTTTTTATTTGAGTGTAAGGTTTGCCCTGCACATCATGTCCAAACGGGCTCCCAGCCACACAGGTGTTCCACTGTCCTACCTGCCACTAGCTCCACCTTCTCCCCCGGGTCACCCTCAGTGTAGAGCGACGGGTGGCAGCGGTACCCGATCTGACTGATCAGACTGGCAGGTAAAGCCATGTTGTCTCGACCAACCAGAACACAGGGCCGACGTTCATTAGTCAGTGGGAGGGGCAACATCTCCATCTTCTCTTGGACTGGGCCATTAAGAAACAGAAAGAGAAGGGGGTGTCAGCAACAGGCGGCACAATGACAAAAATATAAAATTAATGGACACGGCTGGTGATTCTGTGTGCTACTCCCCACCAACCCTGCCCAGAGACTAGCAGCACCAGTGAACGTGGTGTCCTCACTGTAATGTGTGTGAGTCCAAACCCTGGTTCAGCTTATGAATGGATCACCAATCAGGTTTTTGTCTTTAAAGGATTTTCATACTGGGCTGGTCAACATTTTGGGATCATACCATGATGCAGCTTACTGTAGTGGCTTCCAGGATGTCCGTAGATGTGCTGGTAGAGTCCAGGGTGGACAGCACTGCTGTAGTAATCCTCCTCCAGCTCTTCCTCAGTGGGGGGGTGAGATGGAGGAGAGTCCGTAGGGAGGCTGGATCCACCTGGACTGGAACGCCCCCCACCTCCCAGCAGGTAGGACTGCAGCCCTGGAACCAAACCTCCACCTGCACCCAGGTAGCACAGAGCACTGCTCCTGGAGGTCTGGAGGTCTCCGGCAACATCCACTCTGAGGACAGAACAAGGAGGAGGCTCCTGTGTTGTAGCAGTAACAGCAGTCTGTGAAAACACCCTGGTTGCTCTATAAGGAGTGACTTTGCCTCAGAGCTCTAAGGGAGCTGGTGTGTGGATGGACCAAAAGCAGCCCTATGTTAAAACAAGTTTATCAGAGGCCAAAACACTGTGCAGATGTTTAGAATAGTTTTACAACTGAAAAAGTATCAGGGTGCCAACTACTGTTTTGTCACAGCGATCATGAGGTCAGCATGTTTCTCTATGAACAGTGTGTTCAACAGTCCCCATGCAGAGACTGAGACCGACAGCAAGCTGCCTCTACTCACTGTTAACGCACTGGGTGACGCGTCTCCTCTCTGTGAAACACCAGACCCCGATATTTGTTAAGAACGTTGCCCCAAAGGTCCGGAACTTTTTACAGCATCTGAAGGAACAAGAGTTCAGGGCCCAGGCACGAGGTCTCTGGACTTCCTTAACAAATATCTGGGTCTTGTGTTTCACAGAGGAGATGCATCACCCAGTGCGGCAGTGGGTCTCACTGGTGTGGTTCTATTGTTGTCGAGCAGCAGTGGAGGTCTGTGGCATAGACGCACAAGCTGATCCAGGACTGAGCGACATTAACAGTGAACATACTGTTCAGAGAGAAAATGACCGGCCTTATCCTTTCAGGAGCCACAAGACAAAAGGTTGGGAACCACTGCTCAAGGCCACCAGGACACTGAAGAGATCCCAGAGATTTGAAGTCCTGTTTGTTCTCACCTGGGCTCCTCTCCTCCTCCTTCTCCTGCTGCTGCTCCTCCATTCTCCTCAGCGGGAGGCGTGTCGGCCCTCTCCTGTTTGATCCTGCTAACAGCTAGCAGCAGCTCCTCGGGGCTCAGAGTCGGCTGGTCCGGACTAGCCTCCTGTAGCTGGGGGGCGCCTTGCTGCTGCTGCTGGACCATCACGGCATCAAAACCCCCAAGCTCGTCTGCTGAAGTTGTCTGTAATACAACAGTATGTTTACATTGAGTTAAGGCAAGGTAACTTTATTTATCAAGCACATTTCATACACAAAGGCAATTCAAAGTGCTTTATAGAGGAGAAAACAGTAACAACATTAAAAATAATATGCATTAAAGTAAATGCTACATACTGTACTAAAACACATTTTCATAGTTTACTACTTTCATTGATAATGAATAGTTATAATCATGAAGAAACTGGGCTCTTTAGACAAAGACATGCTGGTTACAGCATCTTGTTACACTGTAAAAGATAAGCAAAAGACACCAACTGTGACCTCACTGGTTGGGGTGTGGCCAGAGATGGTTCTGACCAATCAGAAGCCTCAGATTAAAACATGTGGCGGTGCAGTTCCTCTAACGTCCATTAGATGCTCTGGTTATTATTGAAGTAAATATGAAAACCTCATACAGGACATTCAGCTTGGACTAACGTGGATTTTAACTAACTCCCTCGACAGACCAGCTTTTTGACCTTGGAGCAAAGCCAAACCTATAACTTTGTTGTTGCTAGCAAAAGTTTGGCATGAACGTCTTGTCTTAACATAAATGAATGAAATCACACAAAACATGATGTTGATGTTGTTACACCCATGAACTAAAAGAAAAACCTCATCATTGTGCTGTCGAAATGTTTGTTCTTTTATCAATCAGTAGCAATGAATATTTACTATATATGTTTCCCCAAACAACAGGAAAGCGCACTTTGACCCACGCTACACTGACATTTGTGGGCACAACCAATCACTGCTGGCCACTGTTTGAATGAAAGAATAATCTCGTGTTCCTGAATTAACTAAAGTTTACAATGCCTCCAGACAAAGACAGACTACTCACTAGGGCAAAGGCAACTACCGAGTTTGTTACAAAAGCACTGAGCCTTTTAAACATAGCAATCTACTGCCAGCAACATTAACTTTGTAACATTTAGTACTGTTAGGTATTTTTAGTCAGATAGAAATTGGATAGATACTTTATGTATTAGAAATGTTTAGTGGAGATAGGATGTCTAGTTAGACTGTTAAATGCTTAGACATGCTTATGAGTTTCTACAGGGTACATCTGGTCAAGGATACTAGAGAGAAGAGTTGATGACTGTCAGCAGACAGGGTGTTTAATATTATTATTACGACGTGTATAACTGTAGCCTTAGCCATAATATGTTCTTATGTTTAAGTCACGACATGTACTAGAGGTCGTGTGAGAATGTTTTTAGCTACACACCACTTAATCAACAGACACACACACATGCACATTGATTTACTTCATGTTTTGACTACTGCTATGGTCAGCTGCAAAGCTGGTAAGAGAGACGTCTCGGTTGACGTTTCTGTGTAGAATGGGGCTAGCCCAACCGAGGTGATATAATGTATAGGCCTGGTGGGGTCAGGGTCTTTCATCTTACATCTGCCTGGGAGCAGTTTGGAGGTGCAAGATACCTGAGCGTGTAATGTTAATTTTACCTGTGATCCTTTGAATAAATCAGCACTGTTTTGAAGTTACTTGGACTGCCTCGTCTCTCAGAGTTAGCAATGGTAACAAGAGCCATAGTCCTAAAGTACAGCACCAGTTTCAGTGGGAGGGGCAAATACTGCATCTATAAACAGGGAACGCAGCACAAGACCGTTGGTTTTCTGATCTAATGTTAATATACAGGTATTTGGTCGCACACATTACCTCAGTCACACACTGGAGGGTAGGTTTTGGTCTACCTGGACTAACTTAGCCTCTGTAGCTGTGGTCAAACCCACCTGTGAGTCACAGCAGAGAGGTGAGGAGGAGGAGGAGGCCTTCATCATCATCAGCTCCATGCCTCGCTCCACGATGTTCTGGATCTGAAGGTACCCAGCGGTGTACATGAGTACCAGCTGCTCACTGGCAGCCATGCTGAGGCGTCCTGTGTAGCAGAATGACAGAATCTGCTGGAAACATGTTGGCGTCACAGACGATGGCAGCTCAAACACAGCCTGGGAGGAGGAGGAGGTGGACGAGGAAGAGGATGAGGAGGAGTCAGCCGCAGAGCTGAACAGGTCTCTGAAGTAGAGGGAAGAGGCAGCAAGGACGGCCCGGTGGGCCTTGAAGGCCTGACCCTGCACAAGGATGGAGACATCGCAGTAGTGACCGAGCAGCCGCTGCTCGTTCAAGCTGCCCAACACACTGCTGCCAAAGTCCGGGATCTCCACCTGCAGCAGCCCCTCCGACATGGTGGAGGCTGGAGGCGCAGAGGAAGACAGGGCAGGAAGTAACTGAGGGTTTGGACTAGCCGGCAGAGAGGAGGTGGTGCTGACCAGCCAGAGTTAGACTGACAGAGGAAGAGGTGAGTGTTTAAGTGTCAGGCATTCTGCAGATATCTCCTCCAAAATGTTTCAGATCCATAACGCTGCTGTGGAAGAGGTAGTGAGGTCAGAGGTCAGGGCAGAGGGGGGAGGAGGTGGTCAGGTGCGAGGAGTCAGAGCGCAATAGGGAGAAGGCTGTAGATCATCACAATTAGGGTCAACTCTGCACAGGGAAACAGCTAGAACGTGGAGAGGAACAGAGGTTCTCAGCAGTGTCACAGCTTCTGGTTCACCTGCAGAACAAAGTGAGGAAACAGCACATCTGAGACTCTGACACGTCTACTCGTCTTTCCTCCTTCTCTGACACGTCTCTTCTGATGATTCAGTCACAACTTTGCAAAAATATGAAAAACAAACTAAAACTGTAAGTGAAGAAAACATCAGGTCCAAAAATGTCTGTGCAGACAAAAATGATAATATGTAACATTATTAGGTGAGTGTAACATCACTGCAACTTTCTTGACTATTCCTTGATTTGTATGAATTTTCTCATTTACCATTCTCATGATACTGATGACATATTACCTGCAAAACATGGGAATTTATACTGTGAAATATAACTAAAAGATGATCACATTTAATAATAAAGCTATTTAAAATGTGTGATAATGTGATAAACTTTGACACATGAAGCAAAAAGGAGAATATAAAATTAATCTTCATCTTTCCCAGACTCAATTCCATGACTATGTGACATGGTTGAAAGCTCTGGAACAACGTAGTAAGTGATGCTTGTTTTGCTGTTTAACATGTTTTTCACACATGGAACATTACTTCACATATTAAAAAATCTTAGGTAACATTCAATATCACGTGCAGCACATGTCATGTGATCAGTTCACATGTGAAAACATGACATGTACAAACATACTTCACATGTGCATTGTTTTTCATGTGCTTCTTTGGAAGAGGTAGTGCCTGAGGTCATGAGGCAACACCTTCTGATCGTCTCCCTGTGTCGTTGTCACTGTATGCTGACTCCGGTCAGTGTCCATGTCAAAAAATAACTATGTTACTTTTTAGCTCCTGGTTTTGGAAAAAAATAAATATAATTAAAGCTGCTCTCTCTAACGTCTCTTCAGCCCAGATGCTCTACTGAGACTCCAACCAGACTGACTCCACAAACCGCTCCATCCCGCTCTCTGCCCCTCCCGTACTGTTTCGCGAAGTGACAACATGAACTACAGAAGCCTGGTTGGGACAAACTGTACAAATGCAGCCTCCAGTCTGAAGCTAACGTGTCTCGGCTCTACGGCAGCGTCACAGCGTGAAGTGAGGAGGTCAACAGTTTAGTGGTGCAGGATCCACAGTTTCTACATGTGGCTGCTGTTTGTAGAGGACGTGCTTACTGAGTTGCACTTGTCTGATGAGGAGACAGATGGCTAAACTACATCAGCTGTTAGGTCACATCATGATGGCGACAGGGACGTCGAACCCAGCTGACACCTGAACCAGAAATGAGCTGAGGAAAGGTTCAGTAACGTAATGCAGTTTTCTGGCAGTAAATGTGAATGTATGAAGGTTACATGTGGAGTCCCACAAAGCCTGTACTGGGCCCGTACCTTTTCTTGTTCTTTTGGCTTGTGACTTCTGTTTTACTAAAGCCAGAGATGCATAATGTATAGTAAATCCCAACTTACGGGAATAATGCCATACGTGTTCAGTCCCCTGAAACATTTTACACTTAAACCTTGCTTGTTTACATGTACGTGCACATTGAGAGCTGCTGTACCAGAGTCAAATTCCTCGTGTGTCCAACACACCTGGCCAATAAAGCTGATTCTGATTAAACACTTTTTGAAAATATTTGTGACTCAGTTGTTTTGCAGACACATCCAGATCATACAACCTGACCCTCTGAAGCATTCTGACTCTGTGTTTGTATTGATATGACTAATAATAATAGTAATTATTATGCTTATCATTATAAAATTAAAACAGGACTTCTTTGTTTCCCCTACACTAAAGGATTATAGATATCCTGTTCACTGCTGTTAAATCATTGGATACCACAATGTCTTCAGTCATTACTGCAGTTACATGAAAAGGTCCAAGGACATCACTGACATCTGTCACAAAACAACTACATTTAAGTTACTAAGATTTCACATTTATTTAAGTTCAAAGTGAACCTGGGATCCTGACTTTCTTGGACGTGATGGAGCCACTTTAAATACAGTTTGTGTCCCTAGTGCATGAGGTTCCACATAGTCAGGACGCTGTTAAACACATTTTAAATTTGGGGGGAAACTAATCAATGTCAGCAGATTAGTATCTTGTGAATCTCTCAAGTGAATAAACAATAAACAGCTGATCATAAACCAGCTTCAGAAGCTCATAATACCAACTATGAATTGAGACAAGCTGGTTTCCAGTTGCACCTCACTACTCAAGTGAATATCAAGGATGCTGCCATAAGCTTGAATGGTTTTATTATTTTGCATAGATCGCATCCAGAGACTGAAAGCAGCAATGAATTTGGCGTCCTCATCCTAATGTGGGTTTATATAGCTGGTGGACAACAGTGGAGGTCTACAGCACAGAGCAATGAGCTGACCAGGGTCTGGACTCACATCATGGTGAGGACACCACATTCACTGGTTTTGCTGGTCTCTGGACGGGGTTGGGGGGGAGCAACACAGAGGAAATCACTGGCCTTATGTTTTAAATCAGCAGTTTCCACAGATAGGACAACGTGTAGTTGGGGTCCAGTGTCGCATGTCTAGTTAGCAGCTCCACTAAAGAGCAACTTCCCCTTGAACGTTTCACATGGTTTAATTGAAGAAGCTGTATTTATCCAAAATGTCACAAAAATTCAATGTTTTTAAAAAGTTCACTGAATCCGAACTGTGTTTCCTCTTCTGTCCTCTCTATGAATCATGTGACGACCCCTCAGATTTGTTTGGTGGGAGTTCAGCATTTAAAAAAGACTATGTGAAGCATTAAACAGTGTTTAACTCAGACAGTAAGGAAAAGACACGTGTCAAACATTTCCTCACTGCAGCTTCACAGAAAAGCTCAGATGCTATCACATTCACACAGTCGGCAACGGGTTTCCACACACTGTTAAAATGAACAGTCAGGACGACCGGCGTTCTTCTGCAAAAAACGTGGACTCACAGCAAGATAAAACCACTCGTCTTTCACACAACGTGGAGACGTGTTTTCCATGATGTACATTAACAATGTTCATATTAGGAAGCAGCAGAGATACCGGGTCAAGGCCCAGCATGATCTGCATGCCATACTGGGTAGTTCCCAATATTCTACATTTCCAAGGATGTGTGTGTGTTTGTGTTGTTTAGCAATAAGGCATTGAACACGAGGAGCCCACCTCAGTCTGTGGCTCAGGATTCACATCTGGATACTTCAGGTCTCAGCAGAAACTTCCTCCACCTCCTTGAGGCAGACGCCATAAGGGTAAGGATAATCACCTTTATTGGCCAAGTATGTTACACACAAGGAATTTGTTTCCGATACAGAACCAATGGCAGCCATCTGTGGCGCCACCTCAACCGACAGCTCCAACCATCGGGGGCAACGAGGGGGGTTCAGTGTCTTGCCCAAGGACACTTCAACACGTGGACTGGAGGCACAGAGATTCGAACCTTTAACCTTCTGGTTGGGAGGCGACCATGGTGTGGTGGGTAGAGCAGTCGCCTCCCACATAAGATAACCCCGCCTAGAGCCAGATCTGGACTTGTGCCTCACTGCACTGTGGGAACACAGGCGTCAGTCATTCAGAGGTGGTTGCATAGCTGTTGCATTTATATTTGTGAGAACATTAATGTTCTAATGAGGGGGGGCTCAAACAGCAAAGCACAGAAAAAAAGAAGAAGCCTGGAAATGGAAACAGTAGAGATTTTGTCCTATTTTCGTCCTACAACTGGTATTATGGCACTTTATCAAGCATTGTTTTTCAAGAGAGAAAGTAACCAGCACTGGTAAAGGTTTGGAGAAGGTGGTGGTCAATCAGGCCAAGTGATGCCAATTTGCTTTGAGGTAATGTGAGTAATTGCTAGCAGGCAGCTACGTCAGAGTCAGAGTCCAATCAACCGATGGGCGTGCAGGACACGCAGCGTCACACAAAGTTGAGATTTGGGAGGTGTGTGCATTGAACCGTCTGGGACTATCAGTAACTTATGTCTATGCATAAACCCCGTGGGTACATGTCAACGCCTATGCCTAGTTGTGGACAAGCTACAGAGCCCCACCCACAACTAGTCACAGCTACAGAGCCACACCCACAGCTACAGAGCCCCACCCACAACTAGTCACAGCTACGGAGCCACACCTACAGCTACAGAGCCCCACCGACAACTAGTCACAGCTACAGAGCCCCATCCACAACTAGTTACAGCTACAGCACCACACCCACATCTACAGAGCCACCACCCACAACTAGTCACAGCTACAGAGCCACACCCACAGCGACAGAGATACAGCTTCAGACAGTTGAGACACTGATCATGAATCTGACCTGATGTACACCACAGCAGAGCCCAGTATAGTTCATTACAGTCCACTAGAGCCCAGTGGGGACAAGTAGAGTCCTGAGAAGTACATCAGAGTGTAGTATAGTCCAGTCCAGTCCTGTACAGTACAGACTAGCAGAGTCTAGTTGCCTAGTACAGGGGAACAGAGTAAAGTAGAGTCCAGTAGAGTCCAGCAGAGTACAGGTGAGTTCAGTCTGTTTCAGAGTTCAGTGTTATTATTGTTTACAGTACAGCTGCAGCAGAGAGACATACAGTGTGAGCAGACAGATAGGCTGAGGGAGAGACAGGTGTCAGGAAGACAACAGGGGCAGACAGAGAGAGACAGGTAGACAGACGGGTTAAAAAGAGACAGAACAGAACAGTTTCAGAGTGCATAGACAGGACAGACAGACAGACAGTACAGCCATAGTTAAGGGAGGATGTCAGACAGACAGGCAGCTCCTCACCTCCTCTCTGCTCCTCTTCCTCCTTGGCTTCTCCTCCATGCAGCAGGCAGGACGCTGGCTGGGAGAGGTTTTCTTCTTCTTCTCCTCCGCTCAGTCAACGCATCGTCTGGTGTGTCACAAGAGGGGGGTGAGGAGGGGGAGGGGGAGACAGAGACACAGCAGACAGCCGAGGAAGAGGAGGAGGAGGAGGAGGAGTCATTTGAGGACAGCGAGGGAGCTAATGCGGCTAACTGCCCTGCAGAGGACGAGA